CCGGTGCCGGTGCCGGTGCCGGTGCCGGTGCCCATCCCCGCTGCGGCAGGCCCACGTGCCGGCCGTTGCCCGCCCGCACATGGCTCTGCAGCAGGGAGGCTGCTGGGGCTAAAAATGGAGCAGGGCGCACATGCCAGCGCCACGTGACGCGCATGGAGAGGGCTCCCCGCGCGAGGAGGAGGAGGAGGAGGAAGAGGAGGAGGAGGAGGAGGGAGCCCGCTCACATGGGCTGGCACAGATGCCAAGCGGGCCGCTGGCCACGACGCCGTGGCCTCTGTGTGACCCGTGGGTTTAGGGGGGCGGCTGGCGGGATGTGCTCTCCCCGCTYCCCCGCCCCCCTCCTCACACATTTGACCTTTGGGAAGGTCAAACGCGGGGTGACGGGGGAATGGGAAAGGGGGGAGGGGTCCCAGGTGGTGGGGTTGGGATGGGGGGTCTGGAGGCTGAAGGAGTCCCCGGTGTTGTCCCACCCTCCCCCTTCCTTCCCCCTCCCTTCCCTCCGCAGTCCCAAGGCTGCAGAGGGAACATAAACATCAGCACGTGAGATCGTGGAGGGGGGACAGGGAAAAGTGAGAGGGGTCCCCACTTGCCCTGGCTGCTCCCCCAGACCTCCCCCACATGATGAACACAGTGGGGTCCCCCCTTCTCCCAGGGGTCCTGCACCCCTTCTGCACCCCCATGTCACTGTGTCACCTCAATTTCTGGATCCCTGAACCCTCCTGGGGTTCTGAAACTCCCAGACTGTACCCCCTTGCACCACCCCTGTGGCCCTGCACCCCTGAATCTTTGTGGGGTCCCTGCACTCCCCAGCCCTGCAGCCTTTTTTGGGTCTCTGCATCTTCCTGGGGTGCACTCATCCCTAAATCCTGCAACTCCACGAATTTGTGCACTCCTGCACCCCAAATTCTGCATGCCTGCACCCTCCCTGCACCCCCAAACTTTRCATCCTGCACCCCTGCACCCTGTACCCCCAGACCCTGCACTTCCTGGGGTCTCTGCCCCCCAACCCCAGTCCACCCCATTCCGTGGTGCCAGGATGCCTTGGAGTGTCCCCACCTGCCGTGGGGTGCCCCCACCCGGGCCAGGCCTGCCTTGTTTACCCGATTTTTCCCGTTCCCGGGGAGGGAGGGCGATTCTGGCAGCGGGAGCTGCTGCCCCAGCCAAGAGCCAGCGGCCGAGCCAGGGCTGCTCCCAGCAGGAAAACACCCCCCCAAAGCACCCCAAATCCCAACCCTCCGAGCGCTCTCCTGGCCCCCCACAGCAGCCCCAGGGCTCCTGCCCCACCCTTCCACCCCACTGGCGTCAGTGGGGACGGATAAAATGGGGGTCCGGTGTGCGGGACCCCCAAATTGGGKGGGACCCAGCACTTCTGGTTCCCCCCTTCAGCGTACAGTTACGGGTGGAGAAACTGAGGCTCGATGTGTGTAGGGTGACACGGGGACACAGCTGGACCCGGTGTCCCCAACCCCACAGGGCTGCTGCAGCCTCACGGAGGGTCTGGGGGTGTCCAAGTGGGGCTGGGGGTGTAGGGCTGGGGATCCTGTCCCCTTCCARTCCTCAGTGCCCAGCCTGGGACGGAGGGGGGGTAGGCAGGAACGAACCCCCGTTCCCGGCGGAGATTCCCCCCCCCCCTCTTTTCCTGGAAAAGGTTCAACAAGGTAAACAAGGCTCCAGCCCCGAGTAAAAATAAACCCTCGGCACGCAGGCGCCGGGCGGGAAGCGGGGCGAGCGTCACGCGGCACGGCCACGGCACCGGCACCGGCACCGGGCACCCGGCACCGGCAACCGGGCACCCCGCGCCGGGCACCGGGCACCGGCTTCACCCCGAGCTCTGACACCGTCCCCGTCCCCACCGCCYCTCCGCTGCCTCCCCTCCCCCGGGAGCAGTGGCAGGGGAGGGGAATGCGGATTGCATCCCTCGGGGGGGGGAAGTGGGGGGCCAGGGGGTGCAGTTGGGGGGACACGGCATGGGAAGGGCAGGGGCACAGCCGATGGCAGGGGCGGGGTGACGTGTGTGTCCCCGGCAGTCCGGGCACCGCACGGTGGATGGGGCACCCCGTGGGGTCCTGGCATGACGGGAYGGGGCAGCCCTGGATTGATTGAGGGGTAGAGACCCCGGGAGGTGCAGGTTTTGGGGGTGCAGGGTGCGGGGATGCAGGAGCTGGGGGTGCAGGGACAGGGGGACAGGATCTGGGGTGCAGGGACCCCAGGAGTGTGCAGGGATGCAGAGTTTGGGGGTGCAGGATGCGGGAGTACAGGGGAGCACAGATCCGTGGAGGTGCAGGATTTAGGGGTGCATCTGGTGGCATGGGACCACCTCGAGGGGCATTCGGGTGGCCCCTCCGCACCATGAACTGGTTGGGACGGGCACTGCCTTGCGCAGGGTGCACGGGGAGCCGCGGGAAGCCCCCCGAAGCACAGACCCGGCCCCTGGGAGCGTTCCCGGCGCTTGTCAGCTGCAGTACCCCGGTCCCGGTGGCTCTGGTGGTCCTTCACCCCCACTCTGCTCCCCATGGGTGGTCCCAGAGTCGGGATATCCCAGAAATATCCCAGCTGTGCCCAGCCTGGGGTCCCTGCTCACAGCACCTTCACCAGGACCCCCCGTGCTGGGGTCCCAGCCTCACGGCGGGACCCCACAGAGGAACCCCATGAGGTTTGTCCCGGCTCTCCCAGCCCCACTCCCGTCACGGGGATTCCTGGGGGATCAGAGTTCCAGGCGAGCATCACTGGCGCCGTGTGCCGCAGCGCCGTGCGCGGGGATGTTTTCCCAATCCAGACGTGCGGCTGAGTCACAGATAATCACCGGGAACGTGCCGGGAGGGGAACGAGGAGCTGCGTGGGGCCGGAGGCACCTGCACGGTCCGGGCACGGCCCCGCTGGGAGCGGGCGTGGAGCAGAAGGGCCCCTTCGCCCCAGGAGAGGCGTCCCCCCGGGTCCCCCCGGTCCCGTGCCAGCCTGGCCCCACACATCCTTCCGGGAGCCGCCGCGGTTCTCACGGCCGGAGGTGCCACGGCACCGCGCAACCGCCCCGTGACTCAGGGCTAGGGCACGTCCTGTGGAGTGTCGGGGTGTTCCCACCGCCCCAGTGCGTTGGGGAGCCCCAAAATCCGTGACCACCCCCAGAACCCCCGGACATCCCCAGCTGAGGGATGGTCTCATCACCCACGGGGTGCCAGGGGGTCTTTGGGGTGCAGAGCTCTGGTGTCCCTCCCCGGGCGCTCCGCACCGCCGGAGCACCGGAGACCTCCCCTCCTGTGGGATTAGCTCCGAGGATTTCCCGGCGCTGGCACATCCGTGTTCTGCTCCTTCTCCTCCTGGCTGGGGTCCAGGGCAGCGCCCGGCACGTGGCACCCGGGAGGGTGCTGGCACCCCCAAAAACCCTCCCCGCGGCGGGAGCGCGAACACCCACGGAGCCCCCGGCGCTGCCGGGGCTGGGCCGGCCCCGGCCGGCGCCGCGACCCAGATCTGCCACCAACTCTACCCTGGCACCGCGTTGCCGCAGCCCCCGCGGCAGCCGGGAGTGGGGCCAAACCGGGACGTGGATGCCAGGCACGTGCCGCAGCGGGCACCCGCCGTGGGCAGCGTGGGGACAGCAKAGGGTGGGCAGGGGAACATGGGGAGGGGGCAGCGGGCAGGGGTCCGGCCRCACCGGGGGCTGTGCCGGGGGCTGTGCCATGCACAGGCGTCCCTGGTGCGGGGGGCTGCGGTGCTGGAGCCAAACAGGTGGGCACAGGAGACGGTGCCATGCGGGGTGACAGGGGTAGCTGAGTGTCCCCAGTGCAGGGGACAGTGCCACGCGGGGTTACAGGGGTGCCTGGGTGTCCCTAGGACAGTRGGCAGCACTTTGAGGGGTGGCAGGGGTACCTGGGTGTCCCCAGTGCTGTGCGGGGTGACATCAGTGCCCAGGTGTTCCCAGGGGAAGGTGCCAGGCAGAGTGACAGTGCTGTACTTGGAACTCCCGGCTGCARGGGACAAACAGTGCCACAGTCAGGTGTTCGCAGCGCAGGTGACAGCGCTGTGCAAGGTGACAGTGCTGCCAGTGCCGTGACTGGGGGTCCCCAGTGCGGGGGATAGTGTGGTGCCAAGTGACAGATGTGTCAAGTGCTGCACCCAGGTGTCCCGCAGTGCAGGGGACAGTGCTGCGCCCGWGGGTTCCCGGTGCAGGGTCGCTGCTGTGCTGGGTGGCAGGGTCCCCGGTGCCCCCGGTGCAGGTACCGGTGCAGGTACCGGTCCCCGCGGTCCGTCAGGCAGCCCCGGTGCGGGGGTCCCCGCCGAGCCCGGGCTCCCCGGCGGCGGCGCGGGGCCGGGGCCGCCGGCGGAAAGTGTGTCACTGGGGCACGAGGCTGTCCCCGGGAATCACATGGGGGAGGCGGCGGCGCCGCGTGCGGCCCAGTGCGCAGCCGCGGCCGGTGCGGGGGGCGGCGGGGCGGGCGGCGGGCGCACAACAGCCCTCACCGGGCGGCGGCACAGCACGGCTCGGCGCGGCTCCGCTCTGGGAGGCTCACGGGGCCAAGACAGGATGGCGGCCCCCGAGGCCGGCAGCACAGGTCAGTGCCCCGCCGGAGCCCCCCACCCCCGGGACAACCGTGCGGGCACCGGCACCGGTCCCCAACACCGGAGCGGATTGGGGGGCAGCGCCCCGGGACCGCGGCGAGGGGCTGCGCGCTGAGACAGCGAGTTGGAGGGGTCCGGACACCGGGACCGAGGGGTCCCGCACGCCCGACCGGGCAGGATGCGCACGGGGACCGCGTCCCGGAACGGGGCTCCGTCCTACCGGGACCGGGGGGTCCTGCAGAGCGGGGTAAGGCTCAGACAGCGGGGCCGGGGTGTCCCCGGGAGGAGGGTAGGGAGGGCTGCGCGTCGGTACCGGGCGTCTCGCACACCGGGACGATGTGAATCCCGGCACAGGAGTGCTCCGGTGGTCGGGGCAGAAGTGACGGAGACCGGGATCGGGGTGTCCCGAACTCTGGGGCGTGCGGGACGCGGCGCAGGAAGGTTGAGAASAGGGATCGCTCTTCCGGRGTGTCCCGGAYAGCAGTAGCGGAGGGGAGCGCTGCRGGACAGAGGTGTCCCGGAGACCGGGTACGGGAATTCCCGAACGCCGGAGAGYGCTGGACGCAGGGGTAGGGAGGGTGAGAACCGGGACTGTTGTGTTTTGGTCAGCGGCACCGGAGGGGAGTGAAGTGGGTCCGAGGCAGCGACCACCGGGCTGTCCCGGGGACCGGGGTGTCCCAGGAACCGGGACCGCAAGGCAGCGCGCAGGGATCGGTGTCCCGGTCGGCGGGACCGGTCASGGTGACCGGAGAGGACCGCGGCGGGACCGGGGTGTGCATTATCAGCCGGCCGCGGGATCACGGGGACCGGGCAGCCCGTGGACGGCCGAGGCGGTGCCGCGCGTGTCGGGGCTCCCCGCGCACCGGGAGGGACGGGGGGGGGGAACCGGAGGCGGTGCCCCCCCCTCCCCCGTGTCCCCCCCCCGCACGTGTCCCCCTCCCCGCCGCTGCCACGTGCGGAGTTTGTTTTCCCCGCAGCCCCGCCCCGCCCCCTCCCATTGGTCGGCACATGACATCAGCGATGACGTCATRCACGGAACTGGGGACGCCGCCGTTCATTCGGGGGGGGCCAGCCCTGTCTCCGGGGCAACCAGAAGGGGCGGGGCGGARCCGCTGGCCAATGAGAGGGGAGGGGGCGTGACAAAGCGTGAAGGGGCGGTGTCGAGGGGGGCCACGTGCGGCTGGAGCACGTGGGGCGGCGGCGTGAGGCCGCCTGAGCTGGGGGGGCTGCGGGGAGGCTGTTTGGGGGGGTTCCCTCTGTTTTGGGGTCAAGAACGGTTCCTYTGCTCTGCGGCAAGCTCTCGGGGGGAATCCCCGCACCCCAGACCCCCAAAGTGGGTGTCCCGAGGCTTTGGGGTGTGGGGATCCCCCCTTTATTTTGGTGTCTCATCGGGGGGGGGGCTCCAGGATCAGCTGTCGTCGAGGTGGGACCCACTGTCCCCAATTCAGTGACCCCCTTTGGAGGTGGTTCAGTGAAGTGGGGGATGGTGACAAGCTGGCTCTGGCGCGTGGCATCTGTGCCAGCGGCACCGTGTGCGGCGGGAGACACATGGCCCTGGTGATCCCGTGTGTCCCCGACATCACCATCCACGTGTCCCAGCCCGGAGTCGTGTCCCGCTGCTGCTGTCCCTGCCCCGTGAGTGGGGTGACAAGGATTGTGACTTCAGCCAGGGGCCACGAGTGTGTCCCCCCCGCGCTGCTCCCCACTTTTTGGGGGTCCTCACTCAGCTCCTCGGTCCTGCAGCGGGGGATGTATCCCCCCAGCTCGGGGGGCTGCGCTGGGAGCATCCCGGTGCCACGGGGGGCTGCGCTGGGAGCCCCTCAGTACCATGGGGGCTGCGCTATTGGGGACTGCACCGTGGAACTGTCCCGGGAGCTGTGGGGCGGGAGCCCGGCTGTGCTGCGGGCACGGAGCCAGGAACGGCAGGAGTAACTCCTGTGACCTCCTGATTTCACCTCTCCGCAGGGTTCCCAGCCCACATTCCTCCTGCAGGCAATTCCGGGGTGCCCTGCCCCGTGTCCCCAGCCGGCACGCACCCGGATAAACCCGGCTGTCCCCGTCCCACGTGGGGCCGGCGCCCGTGGCGGCCGGTGGGTGCGGTGCCTGACTCAGGGTGGGCGGCACACGTGCGGCGCRGCGGGATATCCACGGATCCGGGATGCGTCCGGGATGCTTCCCTGGAGATCCCACCCCGCGTGGGGCTGTGGTTCCCYTCTGGGGGGCTTCTCTCCCCCCCCTCCCCGCGCTGGGGGCGGCTGAGCCGGGTGTAGCTCSGTACATGAGTAGCCCACCGGGATGYCCGTGGATCCGTTCCCTGTGGATCCCGCTCCACCCGGAGGTCCCCCTCCAAGGGGTTTCCCCTTCCTCAGCTGGGAGAGGCTGAGCCYGGCACAGCTCGGTGCCTGTGCGGCCCCGCGGGATCCCCGTGGATCCGGATTGCCCATGGAGTCGGGGTGCTTCCCTGGGGATCCCACCCACTTTCCCGGGGTTCCCCCTCTCCGTGAGTCGGGGGAGGCTGAGCCCGGCACAGCTCGGTGCATGAATGGCCCTTTCTTTCTGCAGGTGGGGTGATCAGCTACGTGGGCTCCAACGGCGCCTCTCCCACCCGCACCAGCCCCGTGTCCCTGTGCAGCGACAGCTCCAACRGCAGCTCCCAGTCGGGCTCCCAGCCTTTCCCCACGTACTTCCCACCGTCGCCCACCGGCTCCCTCCAGGATTCCCGCGCCTACAACGGAGCCACGCTGGCCCCCCATGAGGACGGCTCCCCTTCCTCCTCCTCCTCATCCTCCTCCACCACCACCTCCTCCCCGTACGGCTCCTCGGTGAACTTCCCCGGGGTGCAGCCGGTCCCTGCGGACGAGCGGCGCCGCAGCTCGCCGAGCAAATCCGGCAGCACCGTCACGAGTGAGTGGGGCTCGGAGGGCCGGRGGGGGTGGCGGGTGGTCCCCCCACCCCTCGGCACACACCCCTGGACCCCGCTGACCCCCGTCCCCTCCGCAGAGCTCAACGGGATGGTGCTGCTCTGCAAGGTCTGCGGGGACGTCGCCTCCGGCTTCCACTACGGCGTCCACGCCTGCGAGGGCTGCAAGGTACCAGGACGGGGCCGGGGATGGGGCACGGAGCCGCTGTCACACTGCGGGGACCCCCAGTGACCCCCCCCTCCTCGCCCCGCAGGGCTTCTTCCGCCGCAGCATCCAGCAGAACATTCAGTACAAGAAGTGCCTCAAGAATGAGAACTGCTCTATCGTCCGCATCAACCGCAACCGCTGCCAGCAGTGCCGCTTCAAGAAGTGCCTGCTGGTCGGCATGTCCCGCGACGGTGAGCTCGGAGGGACTCTCGTGACGTCCAGAGCCGGGGATTCCCTCTGGGGGTGGGATTTGCCGTGCTCAGGGTGCTCATCCTCTCCCGGGATGTATCCAGGGCTGTACTTCCCTTCTGGAGCTGAGTCTCTCTGCCTGTGCTGGCTGCTGTGCCTTTCCCATGGGATGTGTCCCCCCTTCCTGGGACCCCCCACATGTGGGGCTGCGTGTCCCCGTGCCCAGAGCTGCATGTCCCCTCCTGGGATGGGTCCTCARGGTGCTCAGGGCTGTGTCCCCTCCAAGGGGGAATGGGACACAGAGGGGGAGGGACGCAGCCCCGCTCCCGTCAGCCCTGATGGGCATGGCAGGGTTTGGGGAGGTCACCGTGCTGCCCCCGGTGTCCCCCCTAACGCCGATGTTCCCCCCTCAGCCGTGCGCTTTGGGCGCATCCCCAAGCGGGAGAAGCAGCGGATGCTGGCGGAGATGCAGAGCGCCATGGGCGGCATGGCCAGCGCCCCACCGCCGATGCCGGGCCCCGGCGAGGGTCCCGCCGCGGGCGGGGGCCGTGCGCCGCCCCCCGGCCCCCCGCCACTCGCCCCGCCCGCCTGCTTCTCCCAGTTCCCGCAGCAGCTGACGCCCCCTCGCTCGCCCAGCCCCGGCGGGGCCACCGAGGATGTCATCGCGCAGGTGGCCAAAGCCCACAAGGAGATCTTCATCTACGCGCACGACAAGCTGGGACCCCCTCCCGCCTGCGACAGTGGTCTGCTGCGCTGGGACGCGCCCCCCGCCTGGGCCCCCGGCCCCCCCGAGCCCCGGCTCTGCCCCGCCGCCTACCCCGAGCCCCCGGCCCCGCGGGGGTGCCCCTGGCCCCGCGGCCCCAAGGACATCCTGCCGGTGAGCACCCGGGAGCTGCCGCTCCCCSCCGGGTATTTTTAGCTGCTAACAGCGCTAATCCCCTTGTGAGTGCCCTCCGCAGTGCCGGGCGAGCCCCCCCGGTGCCCGCTGACCCCCTGGTTGCCCACAGGCGTGCCCCATGAACAGCCACGTGCCCGGCCGCAGCGGGCGCTCCGTGCAGGAGATCTGGGAGGATTTCTCCCTCAGCTTCACCCCCGCCGTCCGCGAGGTCGTCGAGTTCGCCAAGCACATTCCCGGCTTCCAGGCGCTCTCCCAGCACGACCAGGTCACCCTGCTCAAGGCTGGCACTTTTGAGGTAGGTCCCAGAATGGYGAGAGCTCGATGGAGGGCTTGATACCCCATGGCATCACACGGTGCTCCATGGACGGGCATGGAGCCCCAAAGCATGGGAACAATGTCCCAAAATGGGGCAGTAGTCCCATGGCATTGCAGTGCCCCACATTTGGGAGCCACGGACCACGGAACACGGCATTGCCTGGTGGCCCACAGCGCCCATGGCATTGCCTGGTGACTCGCAGCACTGCAGTGCCCCACATTTGGGAGCTGTGGCACAGAGCACCGTGCCCCTGTCATGGCACGGTGCCCCGTGGGCTGGCACGGAGCCCTGCAGCACTGCAGTGYTCCACAAACGGCAGTCGTGGCGTGCAGCACGGTGCTCCTGGCATTATTCAGTGCCCCACAGCACTGCAGTGCCACACTTTYGGGAGCTGTGGCATGGAGCACGATGCTCCTGGCATGGCATGGTACCCCATGTTTTATAACCATGGCCTGGCATGAAGCCCATCAGCATTGCCTGGTGCCCCGTGGCATTGTAATGCCCCAGATTTGGGAGCCGTGGCATGGAGYACAGTGCTCCTGGCACTGCACAATGCCTATGGCATGGTAGCCCACATTTGATAACCACAGACTGSCACGAAGCCCCATGGCCCTGCCTGGTGATTTGCAGCACTGCAGCGCCCCRCATTTGGGAGCYATGGCATGAAGCACARTGCCCMTGGCCTGGTACCCCACATTTGGTAGTCACAGCAGGGATTTCAGAGCCCATGGCATGGCCCAGTGGCACAGCACTGCCCCACATTTGGGAGCTGTGGCATGAAGCACAGTGCCCATGGCCTGGTATCCCACATTTGGTAGTCACAGCAGGGATTTCGGAGCCCATGGCATGGCACGGTGCCCCTGGCAT